AAATACTAAGTACCAAAGAAATTAAGGGGAAAGTTAACATTTCTTCCGCTCTTCACCAAAGGAAAACTAGGCCCGGTGGTTTTACAAGTAAGTTTTACCAGACTTCAAAGAAGGGTTATTTTCTATCTTATGTAAAAAGTTGTTTCAGAAAGTAGAAGAGTGAGAGCTCCCCAGCTCATTTTATGAGGTTAGTGTAACCTTGATCCCAAAACCAAACAATGACAGTTAAAGAGAAGAAACTTAGAATCTCATTTCACTTGTGAGATGGCTGTAAAGATCCTAAACAACATATTCACTATATGAATCAGAGAGTGTATTTTAAATAAATTAATCACAAGCAGATGGGATTTATCATAGGAACTCAAGCAAGATTTATCGTCAGAAAATACAACCAAATAATTTAACATATTAATAGATGAGGGAGAGAAATCATGACTGTATCTCAGTTGATGCAGAAAAAGCATTTGATAAAGTTCTATACCTACTTATGATTTTTAAAAAAACACCAAAAAACCTCTTAGCAAACAAGGACTAGACCAATACTTCCTTAACCTGGTAAAGGTTATATATCAAAAGCCTACAGCAAATATTATGCCTAATGGAGAAATTCTAGATACATTCTACATATAGGGTTAGGGGAAGAAAGGGTGCCTGCTATCACTACTTCCAGTTAACATAGTATCAAAAGCATAAGTCAATGCTCTAAGGAAAGAAAAAGAAACAAGTATAAAGATTGGAAAGGAAGAAATAAAATTGTGATTTTTTTATCTACTTAGAAAAACCAAGGGAAGCAACAGTTTTAAGACTACTAAGAAAGTTCAGCAAGGTTGCTGGATTCAAGACAAATTTTAAAAATTTGCTAGCATTTCTGTATAGCGTCATCATCAACTAGAAAATAGAATAGAATAAGAGCATTTGCAAGAGCAATAAAAACTATGAACTACTTAGCTCAACAAAACTGTGAACTATTTCACTGAGGCAAGAATACACAGACATTCATGGAGTAAACTATACAATTAATAAAGGATATAAAAGATGTTTAAAATAAGATGAGAGACATTTCATGTTCTTGGAATGTTTGACACAAAAGTATAAAGATGGCAATTCTCCCCAAATCAACCCGTGTATTCAATAAAATCCCAATCAAAATTTCAGTTAAATTTTTTAGGAACCCAATGAACTTTCTCTAAAATCTAAATGGAAAAATAAGGGTCCAGAAATAACTAAGTCAACCTTGAAAAATAAGAGTGAAGAGGGGAGTTTTACCCTACCAAATAATAAGATATGCTACAAAGTCGTAACAATAAAAGCAGTGTGCTCTTAGCTCAAACACAGACAAAATGATCAGCAGGACAGAATAGAGAACTCAGAAATTGACCAATGTATAAATATGGGAAATTATTATATGATAAAGTGGGAGCTGTAACTGAGCAGGGAGAGAGAATGGACTGTTTAGCAGATGATGTTGGGAAAAGAGTCTCCCTATATGGAGAAAAATGAAATGCAATCTGAGCACCACCAAGCACCACACACACACACCTTTATCAGATAAAGGCAACTTAAAACAGCCCTTTATAGCTATCCTACCATAAAACTGGGAATCTGGTTAATATCAGGTGGTGTTGAGCACGTGGGGTGCTTGGATGTGCAGACTCTGCCCTTCCGGATGGCACTCTGGCAATACTCAGTCAATTAATGCAGGGGGGAACCTGGTCTCAGTAACAGTAGAGGGACCTCCTCCCAAAGACGCTGGTATGGCCCGAGTGCCACCTGCTGAGCTGCGGGAGGCCCAGGGATCAGCCTGCTGCTGGCACAGGAGTCCCAGCTGGGGTTCCAGTGGCCTGGGACCCTGCAGGACTTGCTGGGCCAGGCCAAGAGGTCGGTGGGCCATCCCAACAGGTGATGACCCCACAAGGAAGAGGCATTATTGCAGCCTCTGCCGCTGCTGTCATGGCCAAGACTGCAGGGGGGCCCCGACCCAGTATCCACCTGGCCACAGGAGTCCTCCCCCACCTATGGGCCTCCAAGGGGCATCCCCTCCAGGCATGGTGGGCTTGCCACCTGGCCTGAGGCCTCCCATGGGTCCCCCAGTGGGGATCCCCCCTGGACGAGCAACTCCAATGAGCATGCCCCCTCCAGAGAGGCAGGCAGTCCCCCACCCCCAAAGTGAAGCCTCCCCCCACCGGAATGCACCCACCTAGACTCATCTTGGCCCTTATCAGCTCCCTGCCTGTCTGTTTCCTGAAAGGCTGTACAAGTAAAAAGTAAAAGTCCTTTTACTTTCTTGTGGCCTGTGAAACTAGTTTATAATAAACTCTTAAGAATATTATGAAACAAACAAAAAACCCACAGGATTGAATGGAAGCAGTAACAGTGAAGCTTATAGAATACCTACTACGTAGCTGATACTGTGTTATATAATGATAATATAAAATGCATTATTATTTTAATGAATTTAAAATTTATTCATACAACGATGCACAGGGTTGAGTAACACATATTGCATGAGTTCTCTACTGCTGCTTACCAAATTACCCCCAAACTTAATCAACAATAAACATTTATTGCCTCCCATGGTTTCTGTGGGTCAGAAAGTCTGTGGGTGCGATCAGCTTAGCTGGGTGACTCTGGCTCAGGGACACTCATGAGTCACACTCCAACCGTTGCCCAGGGCTTCGGTCATCTGAAGGCTGAACCAGGGCTGGAGGGTCCGTTCCGAGATGGTGCACTCACACCATTGCTGGTTAGTGCTGGCTGTTGTAAGAAGCTCCCTTCCTCACCACCTGGACCTCTCAGGGCAACTGGAGTACCTTTGTGACACAGCAGCTGGCTTCCCCTAGAGCCGGAGGACCGAGAGATCCCAGGAGGAAGCCACAGCATCTTTTATAACCTAGTTCCAGAAGCTTCATGCTGACACTGCTTCCACATTTTGTTTTGTTTTGATTTTTTTTTTAAGATTGTATTTATTTGTTTGAGAAAGAGTGAGCAAGAGAGAGAACGAGAGAGAGCATGAGTTGGGGAGGGGCAGAGGGAGCAGGAGAAGCAGGCTCCCCACTGAGCGCAGAGCCCAAAGAGGGACTCCAGGACCATGACCCGAGCTGAAGGCAGACATGACTGAGCCACCCAGGCGCCCCTGCCTCATTTTATTTGTTGGGAGCAAGTTGCTAAGTCTGGCCCACACTCACAGGGAGGGGGATTGGGCTCCACCTTTGAAGAGAGAAGTATCAAAGAATTCATGGACATATTTTAAAACCACCACACAGACTAGCAAAAGAGTATACATTAAATACTTTGAAATGGCGATAGGGCATGGGAGAAAAGGGGGTAGAGGGAAGGAGGGCCAACAGGAGTCCCTGTGGTACCAAAGGCCATGGTGTGCCACAGATCCAGAGCATGTTTCATTCTCTGCATCTAGAGTAAAACAAACAGAACAAAACAAAACAAAACAACATGGTGTGCAACTTTTTGGTCTAGTTTCTATACATTCATATAAACACATAAACCTCCACGCTTACAGCTTTGGGGTTTTGGTGTTTTTGATCCCGGGTGGGATTTTATCATGTATACTGATCCACAGCTAGGTTTTTCGCACTTAACCATGCATCTTGGAGAGTTATTTTCATGTCACTCTACAGAGGTCTGTCTTCTTTTTATTACTGCGCATCATTCCATAGTATGGAGATACCAAATTGTATGTGATCACTTCCTTACTGATGATGGACATTCAGGTGGATTTTCCTTGTCTTCCTGTTTCCTTTCGCTCTGGTTGGCTGTGGTTCTGTCTCACTCTACTATGTACATCCGCCTTTACTCCTCTGTCCGTTCTCTCCTTTCTCTCTACTTATTTTGTCTCCCCTGGAGTTCATAATGCGTGGACAAGGGACATCTCAGATGGATTGTGCTGCAAGCAGAGGTTGGGACTTGGGGACAGGCAGGGGCTACTGTGGCAGATTTGCTGTCCCTTCATCCTCACTCCTCCTGACTAGCTGTAAGGAGCAGATGATGTGACCAGCATGGGGACAGGCATGTGAGTGACCCACCCACAGCAGAACAGCGTAGGCCGAGGGGCAGCCTTCCAAGTCTACCTGGCTGCCCTGGGCTCTCATCCCACTCCCGTCACTTACTAGCTGCATTTACTAGTTGTGTCACTTCCCGATCCCCATTTTCCCATCTGTAAAACGAGGATATGAGAGTCTCTTTTTCCTGAGAAGGTTGTTCTGGGAAATAAATAAGAGAATACTGTGCTTCGCACAGTGCCTGGTACATAGTGATCTACGAACACTGAACTGTGAGGGAACTCGCCAGGGTGTGGTCATGCATAAATTAGGGTATCCATCAAACAGGGAGACATGGGCTCTGGGCTCTGTGGGGTTTGAAGAAATCCTCACAAATAAAGGGTATAAGCCAACGGATGAAGGCAGCCTTTACCCCCCGGAGGAAGGTATTCGGGGGAATGGAGAAGCACTGGGTTGGAAATAGGAGGCCTGCTTGGGGGATGGGGAGTAGTGCCCTGTGGCTGGAAGGTCATGTTCATTGGCAACGGGGGGAAAGCTCCTTTTAGGGGTGTGTGCAGGCGGGCTTCTGGCAAAGGAGGGGGTTTGGGGCCCTTCCAGGGACTTGAGCCTCAAAGCTAGACTTGCATGTGCATGGCAGGACTACTGTCAGGGCCCGGCAAGGCTCTGGGAAGGGAGCTCCCTTCCCACCACCCTCCTGCCTCCTTCAGCAGGGGCCTCCTCCCGGGGCTCGGCCACTCCCGGCGTCAGTACCCCCACCCCTGAGCCGGTTGGGAGGCAGGCAGGAGGCTTCTCGCGGGGGCTGCGCCCGGTGGGCGGCTTTCCCAGAGCAAGGAGCGAAGCGGGACTGACTGGGCGCCAGCTCCCTCAGAGACATTGCTGGCTGGGCGACCCGCCTGCCCGCCGAGCTTGCGCCCACAGGCTCCGTCAGGCACTGTGTTCCCGTCTAGGGGCTGCAGCACCCCCCCCCCACCCCGGGGCTGTGGCATGTCACAGAGGGAGGTCAGAAGGGCCCCCGCCACGCCGGGAGTGGGGCAGAAGCCGGCGAAGGCCAAGCGGCGGCTGGTAGCAGGCCCTGGCAGGAAGCGGGGCCGCCTGAGCAGAACAAGGCAGGACCTGTGGGAAGAGACGAGCTGGAGCGACCAAAGGTGGAGCAGAGCTGCCCTGAGCCCCCGGGGGGTCAGGCCCAGGAGCCTGGCTCATGGCCTGGTAAGGAAATGCTGGACCTGTGGAGGGAGCCGGGGGGGGG